CCCCCACCCCTACCCCCTCAAAAAATCAGTGCCGCGTCTACACCAAGAAGACCGGCCACAAGCCGGACTTTGCCGAGCCGGTGGTGCTGACCAACGACCGGGGGGGCACCACGGTGGAGGCTATGTGCCGCCAGATCCACAACACCATGGTGCGGGAGTTCAAGTACGCACTGGTCTGGGGCGTCAGCGCCAAGCACTACCCGCAGGTGAGGGAGGGGCGTTTGGGATGTGTGTGTGTGTATGTGTGTGTGTGTGTGATGGGTGGGTGTGTTTTTTGTTGCGGGTGTGTGTTTGTGGCTGGTGTGTGTGTGTGTGAGTGTGTGTGTGTGAGTGTGTGTGTGTGTGTGTGTGTCTGTGGGTGGGTGTGTATGCCCGACATGGAGTGTGGTGTTTGGTCTGCTTGTGTCGTCAGGCTTGCATGCTCGTTCCCGACGCTTTCTGGAGAGCCGTCCCCCCCTAAGAAACATGTGTCGCCACACGCTGCCCTCCTCCCGCAGCGAGTGGGGCTGTCCCACCAGCTTGCTGACGAGGACGTCATCCAGGTGGGGGGGGGGCTTGCACGTGGGGGGGACACAGGGGAAGAGGACACGGAAGGGGCGCATAAGGGAGGGGAGGGCAGGGGGGAGGGACGGGACGGCCGAGGCCGAGGCCAATCACTGGCGAAGGGCGGCGGGCAGCTGTGCTGCGGGAAGCGTGGACTCACCGCACCCACAGGCCCGCGCCCCTGTGCGAGCGGCGAGGATCGGCCCCTGCTATCTTTGACAAGCGCACAGCTTGAATGCAACACACACAGACACACACACACACACACACACGCGCGCGCGCGCACACACACCACCACACACACACGCACACACACACACACCACACACACGCACACATACAAACACACCACCACACACACACTCACCTACCCACCCAGCCATCTGCCCCCATCCATTTCAAATGCGCCCTCACCCTACAAACTACCCCGCACCAGGTGGTGAAGAAGAAGGTCTTGGATGCAGAGGACGGGTGAGATCATGGCCCAACAATGCACGGCAGCGTCCAGGCAGCTTCCTGGCCAACCGAAGCGCACCCTCTAGCTGCACTCTGGGACCGGCCTGGTTGCAGGCAGCACACGGCAGCGGGCGGCGCCGTCGGCCGCGGCCTTTTCCTGCTTTGGCGCCGCCCACCCAACGCTCTCTCTCTCTCTCTCTCTCCCTCTCTGGGCCCTTGTTTGCAGCCCCTCTTCGATGCGCCTCCTGCATCAGCCAGCCGCCTCTTGTCGTTTCTGACCAAACCCGACCCCCCCACACCCTTACCTTGCTTCACAACACCGCAAACAAAACGCGCAGCCGCGGGCGCTTCAAGACGACCAGCGACAAGCCGCTGCGCATCGCGGACAGGGAGAAAAAGGCCGCCCTCAAGACCTGACGCGATGACATCATTGTGACATCATCATCGCGGCGCTGGGCGGGCGGCGACTTTGTTTGCGCCCGGATGAGGGCGGAGCTGTTGAGAAACGGGCGTGTGTGCGGAATGTTGTGTGTTCCTATCCGTACTGTGGGTGATGCTGTCGTTGGACTCCTTGGTGGTTGTTTCTAGGCACGTGTGTGTTCTTTTCCACTAGGCAGGTTCATTGATAATCAAGCTGTTGTATAGCGCATGATCTCGCTGTAGCATGCCGCGCTCCACCCTGTAAATCAGTAGCGATCAAGAGGTTTGGGGAGCCCGCAGCACGAACGGCACAAGGCAAGGGTGGCTCTGCGGCGGTGCGGCGGCAGCTGGTCTTGCTAAGAGCATGTCTCAGGTGGCAAGATTGCTCCGCTTGCCGCATGACTGCAGCCTGTACCAAGGGAGGAGGGTCTGGTGGTGTGATGGAGGCTGGTCTAGCTGCCCAGCAACGGTCAGGTGAACTCCATTCGGCTGCGGCGACTCATTGACTCTGCAAACACAAAAGAGCGCTGTTGGCAATCTTCAAGGCATTCTTCAACCACGGAGGGCTCTACGGCCGGTCGCTTACGGAGTTGCTGAGCCAGCAGATCTCGATCACGTCTGACTGGCGAAGGGTGAGGTTTGGAGTAACGAGCAACATATATAGCTGTTGAATGTACTGTTGTAAGGTCCTGAACCTCGCAGCAAGGCCCACACCCGTCTCACCCAGGTTGATCATCGCCATCGCGGTCCCGTATGTTCAGGGCCGAAGCCGTGTATGTGCATGTATACGTTGAAAACATCGGAACCCTGAAGACATGACGGCGGGGAAGTCCCAAGCTTGCGCCTTGGCGGCGGTCGCGACTGTGCTGTTGGCCGGAGCCGCACTGCTGGCTCACCCTGCCGCCCGTAGCGGCGTGGTGGCCGCCGCCGGCCGCGCCTCTGCCTCCGGCGCCGCTTCCGTGGCCGTCGTGCCTGCCGGCCTCAATGAGCCCAGTAACAGGCACAGGAGGAAGAAGGTCAAGCCCTACACTACGCCAAGCGGCTTGTTCATTCAGGTGTGTGGGGGGGATGAGCGCAAGGGATGAGCTTCACCACAGCCCAGTGTCGGCCCTCCCTGACCCCTATCACTACCACATTGATGAGAAGGCCCCGCCTGGCCCATCCACCGAACGTGCAGCACTCCTGAACCAACATGCCCAACGCGCACGCGCTCCCCGCACCAACCGCCCCC